TCCATTTGAAAAATCAAAGTTGCTACTGCTTTCTAATAGAAGAGGCAACACCGCATTGTCGAAAATATTTTAGTTGGCTAGAGAATGTCCGAATATGCCCTCCATTAAATTTTCAAAGTGATCCGTTGTCTGGTTCACCAGAAACGTCTAATGTGCCATCCACCGTGAATCAGCCTGTATAGTTATTAAAGACACACCAGAAGAAGCCATTGTATGGCGAAACACGTGTTGCGTTTTTGTGAAACCGTCTAGTGAACATCTCACAATAAACTGTTTCTTGAATTCGTTAGTTATGGATTTTCATCAAGTATCGGTCAATTCCATCATATATATTATTCAAATGAAAATGAAAAATGGTAATAACATATTGGATAATCCATCAATTATCGCAAATAAATTCAATGGCTTTTTTATAAAAACGCCTAAAAACATCATAAACGACATATTTAATCAAGTTATTCCTGTTCAATATCATAAAAACAAATTTCAAACGAATATCATGTTTATTGTTCACGTAGATGAAAACGATGTTTTTCAAATAATGAAAAATAAACCATCCAATGACTTTGATGGAATCTGTGGAACCATATAGATTGAAAACGTCTATAATTACTCCAATATTGAAGAAAGAAAGACCTGATAATATCGAAGACAACTGACCACTATCAGTACCCTTTGTAATACATGTATTACATGTATTGTCAACTTGATTCTGAAATCTGGTGTATTTCCATCAAAACTAAAGATTGCAAAGATAATTCCGGTCTTTAAAAGTGGTGATATCAATCTTCCTTCAAACTACAGACAAATTGCACTACTTCCAGTAATTGCAAAAATTGTAGAAAACATAATAGCAATAAGAATGATAAATTATTTAGAGTACACAAATATCTTGACAGACAGACAGTTCGGATACAGGAACGGAAGAAGCACTTCGAAAGCAGTGCTCCAATTAGTCGACTTCATAACTGAAGGTTTCGAAAACAAAGAACCGACACTTGGCATATTCCTCGATCTGAGCAAGGCGTTCGACTGCGTCTCTACTGACATTTTATTAGAAAAACTGAGATACTATGGATTTGTAGGCATAGCACACAAACTGCTAGCATCATATCTAAATGAGAGAAAGCAATGCGTATCATATAATGAAGAACTCAGAGGCTTACAAACTATATTGAATGGTGTTCCACAAGGTAGTGTGCTTGGGTCACTACTTTTCTTGATTTACATTAATGACCTGCCAAATTCAATGACAAAGTTTACAAAGCTATTCGCCGATGACACTTCCTTCGCCATTCGGAAAAAAAATATTGAAAAGTCATCAGAATTAGAAAAGCGAGTTATTCAAGAAGCTACGAACTGGTTTAATGCGAATAGCCTATGTGTGAATAAAAGCAAGACACAAACAGTTATTTTCTCGCTGTCCCATAACCTCTCAAATAATATGAAATCTGTTTAAAAAATCTGTTTAAAATCTGTTTTTCCGTTAACCAGCTGTCGCACCCCTACGAACGACAACCCTCAGAAGTCGAAACTTGTGCGAGCTAAGGATTAACGAGGTCTTACCTTTTAACGTGTGATTCCTAACACGGGTTGGACGATAGCAAGTGAAGATCGATCGTTCAGACTAGGGCTTGAACCATCGACCAACACGGCAGTCAATTCGAGTGAGTGAACAAAGCACCCACGCCGAACCGCTTGGCTACCGATCAAGCGGTTCGGTATAACCATTGATTCAAAGTTAACTTGGAAACCCCTTATTGACAAACTAGCAAAAAATCTATCATGCAAAGTCTATGCAATCAGGCAGATAAAAAATAAAGTCGGTAATGAAGCTACCCATATGGATTAATAAACTGGGGCACATCTGTTCATATCTCGAGGATATTTAAAATTCAAAAAAGAGCAATTAGAGCTTTAGCTGGAATAGGTCAAATGGAGAGCTGTAAGAATTGGTTTATTAAGTTTAATATGTTAACTCTGCCATCATGTGTAATATACTGCAATTTGATACACGTTCAAGAAAATTTACAAAAGTTTACTACAAACGGTAACAACCATTCTTATAATACTAAAGTCTATCCAAATCCAAGATAGAGTGGAACAAAACAAAACCGAACCATGATGTTCACGTGATCGCCCAGTGTCAGATGGAAAGGGCAGCGTTCATTGGTGAATTCGCCTTCTTGGAACGAGTTCGGTACCAGCACAGGGTTGTAATCAGTCGTTTGCGTGTTTGTGTGGCGTGCGTTATAGTATATTGTTTTAAATTGTTTTCCAAGATGTCCAGTACAGACACTGCTGATGACACTGTGAGCTATCCTTTGAGTCCAGCCAGGAAACAATCCACAAAAAGACATTTGAGTGTTGAGATGAAAGAAGTGATTTTAAATGTGTTCAAGAAAGAGATGGAAGAAATTGAGACATCGACTGTCGACTTCCAGAATTGCAGAAGAAATGCAGAAAACAAACTGTTTGGAAGAACTTAAACAAGCTCAAACATCTAAAATGAATGAGTACATATATATAGAAAAAAGTAGTGAACCTGAAGATACCGAAGGAATGTGGGAAGAAAAGAAAAGAAGAAGGGGATCATCGAAAAAATTAAGAGGGGAAAATGACAGCCAAGGAAGATTCAAAAGCGAAGAACCGAAGGTGTGGTTGTTCTTATATAAGGTTAAATCAGATGTGTCGGAAGAAGACATCTCATCATATTTGAGAGAGAAGACAGGTGATGAAAATGAACCCTTCATTGTAAAAGAGCTTAAGACTGTACAAGGTGCCCGATCCAAAGAATTTATGGTAGCAGCTAACTTTAAGTATAGAAATAATGTTTATGATCCTAAATTCTGGCCACAAGGTGTTATGTTTAAGAGATTTGATTTTGAATATTATTATGAAAAATATCAAATTAGAGATGTTCTCAAAGGAGAGGTGGAGGAGAGACCTAACTCTTTTTTAGACAGGCGGTAGGACAGGAAAACCAAGTAAAAAAGGTTGTGTCAGAACTAACGTCAAATAACAGAGAAAACATTGTAAAAACTTTTAATCTCATGCATTTCAATATTCATGGTCTGAATGGTAAAACAGATGAGTTGG